GCTGTTAACTCGATGTTATTACTTCACTTGTTTTCCTTCTTGCACTTCGTGCTTTCTTTCCTTATGATTTCGACCAATAATTCAAACCCGCCACCCTTCGACCCAAGATAGTTACGGCGCTCCTTACTAAACTTGGTTGTTCCGATCGACGATAAATCCATAAATTGTTATGATTTTCTTTTTGTATTTGCTTTGTATTCTATTTTTATTCTTTATCTACTTCTCCTGAAGTGATTTGGGCAAACAAGTGTTTAGAGCTGATATTTAGCTTTACCTTGCAATAATGAAATGTGTAACGACGATGTAGATATTAGACATTTTTCTATGGTATCTAGCCTTAATCAAGAGATGAAAACGCCATTGATTTACTGAGCACCAAGTTTAACCTTCAAAAATTGATTCTGATATCGCTTGTGCGTGTTTAACTTTTGAACTCCCTGTGGCTCCCTCTTCTCTTATTTCTCTTCATATTCCTCCATTTGTTTCTATTTCTCTCTCTCTCTCTCTTATCCTGAATTTTCCTATTATCTTTTTTTTTCATCGCCCTTCTCCCCCTCCAGGTTATCCACCTTCCTCTCTTCCTGAGAGGTTTGCTACCACACACTCTCTCTCACTCCCCTCCATTGCCCTCTTTCGCGTTGCCGCCCCCGCCCGGGCGCCCGCAGCGACCGGCCGAGAGCAGCTGCGGAGGGCCAGGTTGGGGCTGTTGGCGCGCCGCCTGGGCTGGAATGCCCCGCCCCGAGATATTCCGCTGGGGCCGCCGAAGGCCGGCGACTGCCGGGCGGAGAAGCGCCGGGGCACGCTGTTGCCGGAAATCGCGCCACGTGATCGCACTTCGGAGTGCTCGTTATTGCGGCAAGGTTAGGCCCCTTCCGATTCGCTTTTATTGCGTTTAAAATGTAGAAAATCGTTTGTTGCAAATGCTCGGAACTAGTAAATGGAATTGACGTGTTTCTTAGCACTTTCAGGTAAATTTCTGAATTCTTTGTTTTCAGTAGAAACAAGCTGTATTTGTATCTGTGTGTAATTGCATTAGAAAAGTAACAATATAGTTGTGGCTGGGTGGTGCTGCGTTGTAGGCAATGTTGCCAACGTGTCGGCTGATTTTTACGTAAAAATAATAAATGTTGACAACTGTAGTTTCGTTTATTTGGTATCTTTTATAATTGAGTATTCCATATAGTTGACTATGTTGTCTCCACTTGTTATTTAATTTAGTGTTTGTTTTCTGTAGACTCATTAGCTTATTTATTTATCGTTAAATTGATTGATTACTTCATGTTTCCGGGAGCGTCAACTTCTATTCGTTAGTCCGGTAAGTATTGTACATGTTTTAAGCACAGGTGGCGATGAGCTTCCCTCGCTGGGTGATGACATCCTGCGCCGACCATCAAGCCGGGTTGCACGGTTTTCCCATTCATATATCTCCCACCAACGGGGCACTGCCTTACTTGGGACAATTTCTAAGCTCCCGACTAGTCTCCCAATACATATGAGAGTACAATGCACGTATATGTAAGTGTGTAACTAAGGGGTGACAATTGGGCAAGGAAGAGGAAGGAAAGATCGTGCGCGGCCTGTGGCTCATTTGCAAGGTTCTGTTCTGGCATTTGCCTGGTATTGATGGAAGAAACCACGGAAACTACCGATCAGAGCATCCGAACTCTAGAATTCTACTCCAAACGGCAGTTGAATTTGTCCTAGTTATCTAGCTAGTGACGAAAATCTGCCACCGTGGAAACTCAAACCCTAGAACCTACCAGTCATAAGCACATCAGTGACATCTGTTGGTGACCTGAACCATCTCAGTCTGTTTTATTCATTTCTAAGCACTATATGACGTACGTGGAAGAACACTATAATCTGCGTACATTTTCTTCAGCTCAAATCACTCTTCACTAGGCATAAATAAATTATGAATAGAAATACAGTGCGCCAGAAAGTCTCGCCGCACCGAGCAGAATTAGAGCCTCCTATTAAAAATCGCATTGATGTTGGTACCAACCAGATCACTGGGAAACATGTGCAGGGAACAACACTTCCAGCATCTATTATGATTACGGTGAGTTCGCAATTTACTGTTTCAACATAATTTCCACCAACATAATTTCTGTTTCGATCACTCTCACTAGCATAGTGCCACTTTCCTGGTACAAGTAAGTTTCGTTGGCTCAATTCTGGGTGTGAATAAGACAAGGCCTTTTTTAATTTTATTTAATTGTTTGTTGAAGTACAATGTTCAGTTTACAATAAAAACTTTGCAATTATTTGATGACTTAATATAATTAACTTAATCAGGTTAAAATTGTACTCAATTAATCTTAATCTAGGGAGAGGAAGCAAAAGCTCCTCAGGATAATTATTCAATATTTGCAAATATCTGGAGGAAAGAATGGAGCAGGAATCTGTTCTTAATTCTGGTTCTGTATCTGGGATCTTTTCCTAGTCCCAGTGAGTAGATGCCTTTATGAACGATACGTTTGTGTAAAAGTTGTTTGATATGAATTCTATTTCCTGTGTTATTTCATTTATGTTTAGATCGCTATGAAGTTGTTTATTACTAATGGACCATGGTACTCTTATTATTAATCTTAAATATTTGTTTTGAAGCAATTGCAATTTGCTGAGACTGGTTTTGGCGGCATTGGTCCAGATCGGGCGTGCGTATAATAGAGTTGGGCGAGTGAGTGGTTTGTATAGCGTTAGTGCATTTGACAGTGGGAGGTGGTTGTGCTCGGGAAGAGCGCCTCCGTCGCGAGCGTCCGGCGGCGTCTGGGGCCGCTGCGGCTCCCTCGCGTGCGCAGAGGAATGCCAGCGCCCCCGGCGGCGCAATCCACTGCATCGTGAGGTGCAGCAGTCTTCAAAGGCTCTTTTTATTGGCAACCACTACGGGTCAGACACATTTATCACGGCCTTTCGCGTCGTGTTGTAAATGTAGTGGGTTGTAACAGTGTGTAAATATGAAATAATTATAGACGTCATTGCCAACAATATTATTTAATGTAAGAGCAGCTTTCGATGGCTTAGCCATCATCATCAGTTGTCTGCTGGATGGAAGGTAGTCGTTTTGTGGTTTCCATCCAGCAGACAACTGATGATGATGGCTAAGCCATCGAAAGCTGCTCTTACATTAAATAATATTGTTGGCAATGACAACGTCTATAATTATTTCATGAAAAATGCCAACGATAACACACCACAACACCTATATAGTGTGTAAATAGTTGATTTACCGTTGTTTTTTTCATTTGAATTTTTGGCGTGGAGCACTTTCAGCAGACAGTTTGCTTTCGAGGCCTCCTGATTCGAAATAAGCGTGTTAACGCATTCTAACATGAATGCTGATTGCGTGAAAGAAAGTTGAATCAAATATGATGTCAGCGGAAATGAAAGTATTGCAGTCATTGAATCAAATGCAAAAAGTAAACCAGGGGATTCTCTTTTTCCTTGACAAATAAGTCAAGTATTTTTCCTTGACAAATTTCTTGCATGTTGTGTAGAATTGTAGGTGTTTCTTTAATTATTATTTTTGTATACACAGGCTTCGTAATATTACAGAACTTCGCCCCTCCCTAATTATGTAGACATTCGTTATCTTTAACAAGATATGCCAGTAAATATTCATTGTTCTTGACTTATCAAAAACTGCTAGTTTCCTTCAATTTTATGTCATTTTAGAATCCAATTATGTATGACAGAAATAAGTTTTAAACTTTTGTAGACGTTAGTGCTGAATAAATAATTATACTGCGATATTTATAATAGCGTAGACTATAAGATTGCCATGTTGATATAACAAATAAATAATAATGTTCGAATAAGCTATAACTTTACCCCGTATTTGTATCGTAAAATTTGAGCAAATGAAGCAACATAGAAGCTTTAGAATTTTTGCATATTATTACTTATAGTTTTAGTGCCAAAAATATTTTTCGGGTTAAACATCTTCATAAACAATCAAAAATTAAAACCGACCGGGTCGTTATAGGTATGGCGCCTGGCGGTTTAATTTTGTAGTTTGGGTGCTGCGCAATTCGGTTTCAGAGTTTGAATGGCTGAGCATTAATCCTATTATTCGTTCCTGCAGAATGACGTCACAGCGAGCACGGCCGGGGCTTGAGATCTGTGGAGACAGAAGGATTAAATACGCTCGCCGCGACAACGTTGAGGATTCGCGTAAAGGCTCAGGAGCTCAGTTCTAAAGGCATTGTGAGGTTCAACTCAATCCACAATGAATAAGTAAAATGAACCAAAAATATTGATGAATGACGAAAAAAATAAGTCATAGAACAAAATTATTTTCTAAATTCAAATAAATGAGTAAAAGATATAATAAAAATACGACTGACGGGCCATCCCTGAAGAAAGAGACAGATCATCGTGTTCCGGTGACAGATAATCGGAAGACACCCCTACAGGCGGCCTGTGATCATGTACGTGCGATATCTGAGAGTACAGCGTACCTATCTTCGATGCACATTCTGTTGGATTCCCAGAACACAGTGCGTCTAAACGAGTGTAACAAATAACAGAGTAACTACATTGAATTCCTTCGTGGGACGTAGTTCGTAATAAATCAGTGCTTACTTACAACCAACTACTGAACACGTGACATTTGCAGAATTCAATAAATGAACGCGCGGGTAATATTTGGTGCTGTTTAAGCGGCTTTCTTGCCCCAAAAGCGCCCCGTGCAGGGCCTACCGACTGGCATTTCGCGTTGGGCTGCCGTGCCGTGTAAGGCGCTTTGCGCGGCCGCGTCTCCGCGCGGAGGAAGCCCCGTGGATCCGGGAGGCCCCCTCCCCTCCCCTCACCTTGCTTCGTCTCGTCACCGCTTTCCCCGTCCGGCGCGCCGCCCCGGGGTCGAGCACGTGGCTCGCGGCACGCGACGCCTTCTCCGAGACGTGCAGCCGGGCTCGAACTCGGGAGCGCCGTCCCCGTTGAACCTTGCCCAGTGCAAGTGCGTCTGTGTGGGATATGGGAGAAGGGGGGCAATTCGGATGGAGGGATTCGAAATAGCGAGGGATTCAAATTGTGAGGAATTTGAGTTACTGTGCGAAAAGGATATTGCAGAATTCGGGGTGAAATTGTTCGAGGGAACGGAGGTATTTAGGTTACAGTTGAATTTAAGATAAGGAAAAAATTGTGATATAAAATAAGAATAAGAAGACATAGTTAATTGCAATTGAATACAACTCGATGACAGTGGTTTATAAAATAAATTAAGCATATTTTAATAATAATAATAACAATAATAATAATAATAATAATAATAATAATAATAATAATAATAATAATAATAATAATAATAACAGTGAACTTGATATTACGTCGGACAACATCCACGTCACTGCCCGTCAACACACCTCCGCGTACTTCACATCACCTTGCTGATCAGCAGCACACTGTAAATGGCTTAATGATTGTAACTTTTCTGTATTATAAAAACTAATTCCATCTTCTTTGGAGTAATTTCAGATGCGGAGGAAATAGAAATACTCAGCTCTTCGGGAAATGGAGAATGATGTGGAGAAATTACATTAATCGAGTACATTGTTCTATTGAACAATGTTTCATTCTATGAATAATGAAGGAAGAATTTGTAGTATTTGGAATATAAGATTGCTGGTATCATGTCGCCAAGTGCCTTTAGCTACAAGTTCTCCTACAAACTATGGCTGTGTATTCGCAAAAAAGTGTACTTATTTGTAACATTAAAAAACTGAACGATAATAATAAAATAAATATAATAATATTTAATAATAATAATAATAACAATAATTACTATTTACGAGTTAATAATGCTAGGAGTTTTTAAATTGTTCAATAAAGCGTTTTGCTTCTAAGTAGATTGTCCGCATTGGTTGCAGGGAGAATGCACACCGAATGCGTTGACGACGTCTTTCTTTATGAATCGTCAATCATTGTTGCGTGCAATCTGTAAACATATCAGAAAATAATAAATTAAATTTTGTGCTAACATTTTTCTATATATTGAAGGATTGGTGTTTGATAGACTTAAATAAAATACTTTTCGTTATGTGTTCTTATTCTTTTTAATAATTCTTGAATTCGGAAATGCGTAAGTTATGCTAGCATAAATCGATGTTACTGACCTGAATGACGGCAGACTGCAGGGGAAACAAAAGGAGTGAAAGTATTGCAGAGAAACTCCGTGAAGTTGGATGTTATCTTCATATCAGACTATAATTTCACCTTTGAAAAGATGAGTAATGCATGACCAAATTCACGTATTTAATGATTTACATTCCATTTGAAGAGTAATTTTTATTATAAGTATTATTAAAGTTAGTTTCGGGAAAACACCTGATATGCATTTATCGTTTCATTGTCCGCAGTCTGATTATTCTGACAAACTATATGTTAATCTATTAAATTATCAAGAAAAATATCTCGAACACATTTTGAAGCAAATATCTGCAAAAATACAAGCAGTAAGAATACAGTTATTAAGTATGATATACATACAAAATTATCCATTAATTCATGATTTTTATACATAAACCAGGGGTTTCCAAAGACTTTTTAAATCAGCTCATACATGAATAAAAATATTTTCATTTTGTAACACGTTTATTTTGTTTGAAATTAATATCGATGCATTTCATTATTAATGGTGGATACCAAATATTGAGCAATGCTTAGGGTCGCTTAAAAAATAAATCGGACCTTCTCCAGTCCTATTTCCACCGCTAGGTGTACGCACTGGGGGCTGCCCGTCCTTTCGCAGGTCAAGAAGATCCCACCTGTTGATGCTTCGCGGCGCCTTCGCTAACAGGTACAACACACCACACCTCGCGAAGGCAGGCAGAGGCGCGGATTCGGCGGCGGGCCGGGCCGGGCCGAGCGGGCGGGCGGGCCCGGCGGCGCGCAGAAGTCGGTCAAGCAAGTAGGGCACCGCCCCCGTCTCCGCCGCCAGCGCCACCGCCACCGCCACCGCCGCCAGCCCCGACGCAGCCGTTGGCCGTTGCGACAGCGTCGAGGCGGCCGTTGCGGCGTCTCCCGACTCGCCGCCCTCGCCCCAGCCCCAGCCCCAGCCGCGGCGCCGTTTCGATTTGTTTATTTATTTATTTGTTTTTTATTATTATTATTTTATTATTATTATTATTATTATTATTATATTATTATTATTATTATTATTATTATTATTATTATCTATTTTATTATTATTGATTATAAATGATGAGCAAAACCTAGCCTGTGCGTCGCATAGCCGAGATCTTAATCGCTGAAGGGCCGTAGGTGCCTCGGCTCGAAGGGTCGCAGAAGTGTTGTTTTCAGTAACAATGTAGTGAAAATTATTTAGGAGAACATATACTAATGATTAAACTGAGGAACTGAGGATTAAACCGTAAAAATGAATTCGATTATTTTTCATTCGCAATCATTATCAAAACTAGAAATGCCAAAGGATTTTAATTCTTATTTTATGTATAGCAGTAATGCATGTATATTATCCACCTTTTTACCCAAAGGACAATTTTCTCCTTTTTTGACAGAGATGCGAATTAAGCATTGAAATTATGACTGCAAATTTGTCAGTTGATCAAAGATGTAAATTTTGTATACAAGAATAAAAGTGTGCTTCTTTAGAAACCATTCACTCATTCATTCACAGTCTAATTAAACTGTTGGACATGTTATATCAATGCCAGTTAGGAATGTCATTTGTAACCAAGATTCGAAATAAAGAAAAGTAACTTTCGAAAATTCGAATGAAACAATATGACAACGTTGGTTTGCGTGTGATTCCATTAAAACGAGCATTTCTTCGAGTTATCCACTAATTCGAATTTCCCATCGTGGAAGTTACTAGTACCAGTACCTAGGTCTCATGGGGATATCTGGAATGTATGCATGATTTGATGAATAGTTGATGAGAAAATGAAGAATAGATTGATGGAAGAAATGTTGGTATTAAATGCAGGGGAAACGGGACATCTCCGAAATACCGGCCGCGAATGTGCTTGCTCACTAAAAATTCCACTTGGATCGACGTAGGGTTGAACCCCGATGGAAGGGAGACGGCGATCCACGGAGGAATCGAACTGAGTTTATCGCATTTGCAAACGTTGGGAGCATTGTGAAAGAGTGTTTTGTATTACACTTTATCTCACGAACGTGCCAGAAAATTCGCAGAATCTTACATCTGAGCCCATATGGCAACGCTGCCAGATGTGCAATGCCTCATTGGTTTCTTTGTATTCGATCTACTAGCTATGCCAGCAAGGCTCCTGTGGCATTTTAGAGACGTGAACTTTAATGTAACGTGTGTGAGTGTGTGACCAATGAAAAGATGCTTCGTTATACCCCTGAAATAATATTCTGGTAACACATTTAAGAAAGTGAATGCAATAGTTGCAAACTTGAAAAGATGATTCATTAAAATATCGTTTGTACTTGATAATTTGCTTCAAATTCATAAAACTTTGAATCTCTAAAGCTTATTTACATTTTTCGAGTTGTTTTTAATTCAATTCACTTCAATGATGCCATATTTTCCTTGTCGAAGCTCAGGTCATCAGGTCTGCTCTTTCGTCTGACCACGCAATACGCAATACCATCTAGCAAAAAAAAGAGAGTAACACTCAGGCAACGAAATAGACTATTTGAATTGTACTCAGAGGCGCCTTTTAGGCTTGAAAATCTTTCACATGCAGTAAATCAGTAAATCTATTACACGAAACAGTCAGATTTACTTTTTTTCCATAAGAAAGAGAACGAAAGATTTTCCTTTTTGTTTTTTTTATTAATCTCTTTTACGATGTTAATACCTATGCAAATGGCGAACCCGCTTTGTATTCATCAAATTCTATAGAGATCGACCGGGATTTGAACTCCGGCCTCGACAGTAGAAGGAGAGTCGGTCTGACTGCTGTATGATGGGTTGCCCAATTTTTTGGGAATCGCACGCAGCGTTTGGTGAAATATTAGGTAGAAACTCTATGAACATTCATTCATGATCTGTATTCTCCCTATTGGCAAACTTTGCTTATTGCTTATTTCTGGGTTATATGAATATCAATAAAACTATGCATATTAATTACACATTAACGAAAATAAAGCTGTGAACTCCGTTTTACTATAATTATATCAATCCTCAACTTTTCATGCAGACCTCAACTATATTTTCATGCATTGTTCCTTGAATAAAGCAAATGTAATAGACACGAAAACAATGATTTCTTCAGTTAGTACAGCATTGTTTTATCATGTCACTGAATAAATAATTTAATATCGTTCTAAGACCTTTCAGCACGAATGTATACTATCTGTATTATACTTCATTTAGTGGAGAGAGCAAAAATGAAAAAATTCACCTTTCCAACATGATATGCGTCATTGCTCCAAAAATCGACTTCAGAGGGGTTTGAATTAGCAAAATTGGATTTTCGAAGCCATTGCGCTGACTTTTATACCACTGGCAACACATTTCTTAACAATGTTTTTGCTCGATGTTTCGACCACTTGAGCAGTACAAGAAATTCCGTGAAATGTTAGTCTTGTTAAGTTGAAGTCGAAGCAACTAACCTGTTGATAGTAAACATTATTATCTCGTAATAATCACACATGCATTATGTACTATCTTTCATTTAAAGAGCTCATGGAATATCTTTTAATTTTTACATTACGGAAGTTCGACCAGCTTACGATGCCATGGAGGGCGGACCAGCTTAGTTCGTTGAACCATTGTCTGGTGGAAGATTCTAGCAGTCGGCTGCTCTGATCTGCAGTGTTCCGTGGTCCTCATATAAATATCAGGTGTCTTCCGGAGCATTTCTTTATCAGACGAACCACAGACCGCACGCTTTTTACAATTTTACCCTTGCCTCTTCCACTCATCCGGCACGGCCTTCACCTGACCCTTGACGGAAACACACTCTGTCTGTCTCTCTCTGTCTCTCTCATTCTCTCTCTCTCTCTCTCTCTCTCTCTCACACACACACACACACACACACACACTCACACTCACACATACCCTTCAGAACCACACTTGCCGAAAGACATGGGGAGATTAGAGCTTTTCCCGGCTAGGGCGGTGCTCAGCTAGCGAATATACTAGGGGCAGGGGACTCGCAAAGTCGCGCATTATGATATACGCGCCAGACCTCACGCGCCAACAGGGAAGAAACATCATCTCCCGGGATATACCATGCCCTACACTTACGTAACTACTGAACGGAACTTGGCGAGCCCTGTCAAACAAAATCAATCAGTCAACCAAAAATCTTGATTGAGGTCTACTCTTGGGATATTCCGAACCGACAAGGATAATGAAATTTGCGTGAAATTACCTGTCAACAGCTTAAATACCACGTCAAAAGAATGGTGGGACCTTATAAAACGAATTGCAACAACGAAGCTTCCGCGAAAGTTCATTCAATATTCAATTCCTGAGAAAAGGAGTCTGGATCGCCCAAGAAAGAGGCAGGCGCAACAACTAAGGTGAAGCCGCAACGGACACCAGCCCAAAGTCTGAAGGAAGAAGTAGGTGAAGAAGACGAAGATGGTGATGAAGGAGAATGAGAAGGAGGAGGAGAAGTAGAAGTAAAAGAATATAAACCAAAGGGGTCGGCGGCACACAATAATCACGTGTGCATTTCGTAACGATTATTTTTGTTCGCCATTCTCTTTCCAATGAGCTGCCGCACACGCCGCGTTGTCGAGTGGGGCGCGCTTGGCACGGTGGCATGTAGGCGTGTGTCGCGGGGCGGCGGCGCTCCAGCAAATACCTCGCGTCGGCGGCGCCGCGCAATTTGACGAGCGCGGCCGTCGCAGCCGCCGCGCAGCTCGCGCGGAATCCCGGCTGCTCCTCCCGGACAAAGAGCTCGGGGGCGGGGCGGGGCGCGGCGGGGCGCAGTGCAGAAATGGGTCATCCCGCGACCGCGTCGCTAGCGCCGGGAGTAGGAAGCGCTTCGGCCAGCTGGCTTTACAAAGGATGAGGAGGACTGACTACCTATATAATAGCAGAACAATCGTGATACCTCCAATACCCGTACTATAGACCTTCAGACTTCTTTAAAATATCGATGTTTCCATGTTTTCGAAAGTGCGATTAAGCGGATAACTAGAATTTCTCTTTAGTCAAATTAGTCTGGAATTGTTCGATTCACGGTTTCATGCAGTTATCGAGATAATAAAATTTTTGAGAATGTCGAAACTAGATTTCCTCAAAACATAAGCGGATAAATTGAATTTATGGAAGACGAATTTGTTGATACTTGATTGACACCATCCTGTCACCTTGGTGCAATGACGTCAGAATTTGTTAATTATGTAATTACTGGATATTTCGAACTTTTAAACATTTCGAATTTCTCAATACGTTGGACTCTTTAAAATGAATTACTATACAACAAGAAATCATTATCCAGTTTTCGTCCATATTTCAATTCCTCTCATTCTCAACTTTGCTTCATTAGATCTTCATGTGAATGCAAGATTGGCGCTTTTCAATACAAGGCGAAAATTTCAAACTTATTTATCTCAACTCCTGATTTTTTGAGTTCTGCAACTATTGCAGCCTACGAACGATATCAAATCATTGATAGTTCAGAGATAAGGCAACAAGTATTAAAGTTATTGGAATCGTGAAGTTTCCCCACAGAATCTCATCTTCAAGGAATAAGTAGTGAAAGCGAAAATTCGCCGTGAATCCTGCTATTGGAGTTATCAACGCGTCGTCGCACCCAAGCCACGTGCCTGCAGCCTCTTCTTGCTTCGTGCGAGTGGGCGGAGGCGGGGGAGCGGGAAGGATGGACGTGGAAGCGATGGTGGTCGCGAGGTCGGGATGATCACGAAGGCGGTCAATGGAGCAGGGGCGGGAACGCATCCCGTGACGAGGAATGGACAACGAGAAGACGCAAGGGCAGAGGTGAGGAGGAGTGTAAAGGGGTGAGAACGGATGGTCGAGGAGACGGGGTTGATAATGCATTTGACTTTGAAACCGGTGGTGACGGAAGGGGGGAACGGACGTGGGGTTACTGTTGGATATGTATTGTAAATGTGTTACTGTGTTTACTGTGGGTGGGTTAGCAATTGAATAGTTTAACCGAAATTTATTACCGTTATCAACAATTTTATTTTTTAGATTACTAGCTTTAAAATACTTCGTATCTGCCGCCTTGGAGCCAGTAATTAGGCCAGTTGTCGAATTTCTGTTTCCCAGAAGGTAGATCTGAAAATGATGGCTAGGCCTTTGAAATCTGCCAATCTATTGAATAAAAATGTCGGCAAAGAGAGTATATTTTATTTCAACTTGGATATGTGGGCGAACAAGGCAACAAGCGCGGGTAGTGGGGGAGGGGCAAGGGTGCGAAGTAGAAATTGGGTCCCAAAAGAGAGGATGCAAGGATCACGAAAGCGAGTCGTTGGAGGTGGTGGTAGCAGAGTCAGAGGAGTTGCTGAAGTGGGGCAGGATTTGTCATAGAGACGAGATATAATGATGGATCTATAGCCTAAAGAGAGAGAATACAGAGTGCAGAGACATCAGAAGTCAGTGGGCAGAAATCAAAGGGGCGGACAGAAATCGAAGAGACGGGGCTGATGCTGGAACTAATCTGCGATACATGTCAGGGCATGAGTGGCCCGGGGATGGTTTTCGCGGAGCACACTGACGTGGGGATGCGCGCTGACGGTGAGATGGGGTGCGGCGCTGGCGTGAGAGAACTCGCATATGACGAGGGGAAGTGGGTTCCGTAAAGGGGTGGAGGGGAAGGTCAGTCATGGAGGTGTTCACGAGAGGAGAGAGGCCGCCGCTGACAGATGATGCGGTGCGGGGAATGTCATGAAAGTGGGGGGGCGACGAGAGCGATGGAGAGGGCGAAATCACGGGCGAGGGTCGTGGCAAAGGGCGAGGATGAGAGTAGTTGTTCGGGGGAAAAAGAGTGTGGGCGCTAGAATGAGGACGAGGAAGTAAGAGCAGCAATGGAATGAATTTAAAAGAAAGAACGAGGGCAAAGGCAAGCCGAGTGCAAGGGCACGAAGGCATGGGCAAAAACACGA